AAATGTAAAAATAGTCTAAAAAGTAACATCAACACCATTTATTAGTAACATCATAAAAGTCTAAAAGTAATAGCACATAGTTTTAAAAGTAACATCACCACATTTTGAGGGTGAGAGATACTTATAAATGGTGGTGATGTTACTTTTTAAATTATGTGATATTACTTTTAAATTTCTGTGACGTTACTTAAAAATGGTGGTAAAATATTACTTATAAATAGTGGTGCAATTGCCAAACACAGTGTTAATGTCTATTAAGTGGAGTAAAACGTGGCCAAACTAAGGTCATTTACTGCTCACTGCAGGAAACTGCATGGGAATTGCACAACAGGTGATTCGCTTCCATTTCAATGTGGTCGAAAATCCTCTTTAAGTCATTTTTGCCCTACTGTTTCATGCAGTGTATATTACTTTCCCTATATTTTATCACGTCTTTGTTTGTTTAAGTGACATTGAGACCACATTTGGATGCGATAATTACACAAAGTAACTTACTTCCTCAACACTACCTTCACCCTCAAAACAAGGTATTCACATAATGCCGATTAAATAATGTCACAAATAAATGTAACTAAATTCAATATATTATTTATGATATTATTTGATATTAAATATATGCGGCAATTACACATAAATGTATTCACATGTTATTATTTGATATTTATAAAAAAAAAAAAAAAAAAAAAAAAAAAAAAAAACTTGGTAAAGTTTAATATTAATTGCCATACTCACCACCTTTACCATCAAAAGAAGATATTCACATATATAGTACTGAATAACTAATGTTATACATAAATCTAACCCAAAAAATTAGAGATACCGGTCGACGCCTAACGACCAAACGTCAACCGAAATCCCCCAACTGGTCAACGTGTAGCCATTTCACGTCGACCGAGTCCTGTATACATAAAATAAAATAAAAAGATCACACTCACCAACTTCACCATCAAAATAAAGATATTTCACATTATGCTGAATAACTAATGTCACACATAAATCTAGCCTAAAAATTGGAGATATCGGTCGATGCCTAAGGACCAGACGTCGCCGAAAGCCCCTAATCGGTCAACGTGTAACTACTTCACATCGACCAAGTCCTGCATACATGAAAAAAAAAAAAAAAAAAAAAAAGAAGAAGAAGCCTATGACTCTTTTCATTATTTTGCTAAATATCGAATATTTTTTATGTTGTCTAAAGTTAACCCAAACGACTATAACATTGGGATGGAAGTCTTTAAATTAACTTATGACAATGATTTTTATGATGCTTTATTTTTGTGTAAAATTTAACTTCAAATAATAACATAAATAATATGTTGAATTGAGTTACATTTATATGTGACATTATTTAGCCGGCACTATGTGAATACCTTATTTTGAAGGTGAATGTGGTGGCGAGGAAGTAAGCTACTTTGTATAATTGTCATATCCAAATGCGGTCTCAATGGCACTTAAACAAATAAGCAATCCCAAACGCTTTTATTTTGTCCCATACGACAATTATACAAAGTAGCTTACTTTCGTTTGGGATTGCTGTTAGAATGTTGAAAGCGCTTTTATTAGTAGAGCTGTTATAAATTTGCTGTCAGTAAAACGCAGTTATCCATTTGGTGACACATTGTATAAAGAATTTTTTATACTTGAAACACTTTTAAATTTGTTTGGTAATAATGTTGCTTAAAACACTTTTATTACTAATTTTACTATATTACCCTTATACTAAAATTTTGTTAATTCCCTAATATTAAATATTATAAAATTTCATTGAGTTCAATAATTTATAAATATATATATATATATTTTTTAAATATTACATATTTTGTTTATGATATAGAATTTGTATTTAGTACTAAAATATAAATAGAAGGTGGTTGGAGAGTCCTAGAATAAACTATGATATTCGTTCCTTACAGAATTCCAGAATAACTAGGATATTGTTTGGTATTTATTTCTAGTAGGGACAAAATTGTATTTATAAAATATATAAAAGATATAAAAAATATAAAAGGATTACATTGTCTAAAAAAAATTGGTTACCTAAAAAGATAAATCTCTATCTCTAACGCAGTTTTAAAAATTACAATTCCTAACTTCACTTAAAGACGTTTTTTTGACCTAACCTTGACCACCTATTTTTTTTTTACCAAACACGCTGAATCGCAATTTTTTGTATTGAAAGTGCTTTTGAATCGTAGAGAAGCAATCTCAAACACCCACCAAGAGCATTAACACCCTATTTGGATAATGGCTTGTGCTTAAACTCGCAGATCAAATTCGGACCAGATCTGGCTTGATCCGATCCGAATTCGTTAAGCCTTTTACTTGATTCGATTCAATATAATAATCAACAAAATTTTTGTAAGTGATCGATATTCAATTTTTTAATAAACAAATATCCGATTCGATAATTCGATCAGATCCAATAACGGTATAGTTTTTTTATATAAAAAAGAAAAGAAATTAATGTCAAAAAGAGATCAAAAAATAATGATTTAAAAAAATGATTAAAAAACAAAAGATAAATAAAATATGAAAGGAAAATTAAAAAAAAAAATAGATCAAAGAGTAAATGAAAAAATATTATGACAGTGCGTGGGCGACAACACAACACTATTGTACATATAATATTATGATTATATTATATTATATATATATAACTTTTTATTTCGATCAGATCAGCATAATCTATATTTAATTTGTTAGGTTAACGAGTTATTGAATTCGAATCGTAATTAAATTATCGAATTATCGAATTTTTTGATCAATCTATTTTCAACTTATGGGATCGAATTTGATAGGTCTACTTGCGCTGTGCCGAATGGAATCGTTTGGTACACGAGATTCAACACTCAATGCTCCACCACTGTGGAGTGAAGCAGCGATTGACAACTGCTGCATGTGAGGCTATTGTGTCCATTTTTGTTTTAAAAAAGAAAAAGTGATGGTGTGTGAAATAATTATGTATTTGTTTAAGTTTTATTTTAGATACTTTTCTATAGTGTATTGTATCAAGTAATTAATTTAAATACAGTCGTAATTTAATTAATTAAAAAAGAGTCATTTAATTTGCATAAGAATTTAATTACTTGTTTTTAAAAAAAGGTTAGTACTTTTTGAGAATATAAGGAAAAAGACAAGCCGAATATAACCATTGGAAAAAAAGACAAGCAGAATACAGCCATCGGAATATCACATATTCTCTATAAATATCACTAAAATTCTATAAAAAATTCTCATCATTCGACAATTATCTTTATCTCTCAATCTTCCTTTCAGTTTTTTCTCACTTAATTATCATCATTCAACACTTCAAGTCCTTCAACACTTCATGGATTATCAACCTCTATTACACCAGTCGCAAAACTCAGAACTACAACCGCAATTCAATTATAATTTCCACCCTTCAGGATTTTTTCAATCCGAAAACCTATCTCAATCCTAATTTGCCCATTTCTATAACCCACATCCTTCCCACTATCAATCTCTTTCCCAATTTGCTCTTTCCTAATACCCATCTCAATCTTCTCAACCTCGACCTAATTCTTGGAAATCTAGGCCCAATTGGTACACCCAAGAAGATGAAGTGTTATGCAAAGCGTTGATTAATGTTGGGAAAGATCCAATAACCGGTGTGGATCAACAAAGTGGCATGTACTGGGGACAAATTCATGCACTTGAATCTCGTAATTTGAAAATTAAAGTGAAATTAGATTTGGGTGTAGAGCAAGAACATACACAAAGATTGGAGATTGAAGCACAAAAAGAAATGAAATTAAAGAAGATTGAGGCACAACTACAAATTAAGAAGACGGGGATTGAGCAAGAACAGGTTCTTTGGGAAAAACGAATGATGGAAAAAAATTCAAAAGATATTGCAACCTCGGTGATCAAAAAATGGATCGAGGATCGACAAAATGAAATTATATCGCGTTTCAAACAAATGGGCAATTAATTGTAATGTCTAATATTTTCTTTATATGGGAAAGTATTAATGAATTTTTTTCTTCTATTTATAGGTTGGTATGTAATGTACTTGTAATATCATTGTTTTTTAAATAATATTTTTTTATTTTTAAGTTTGTCAAAATATATAACCGAAACAAACAATTATAGCCTTTAACAATATAGTTGTTGATAATATAGCCGTTGAAAAAAACAAAAACAAACAATTGAAAAAAAAAAAAATTATTTATATTTTTATAAATAATTTTTTAAAAATATTAAAATAATAAAGTAAAAACAGGAAAAAAAGAATGCACAACAAGGCAAAGGAGTTCCAAAAAACAGTGTAGAGCCAGCCACCACACACACTGAATGGTCTAACAAAAAGTAATTCTTGTTTTCTACTGTCACCCCTAAAACAAGTAGAATGAAAAACTTGAATCAAATTTAATAAAATGATTTTACTTTGTATATTTGAGAAAGTACCTTTGGGACAAGAGAAAGTTGTTTTCTGTTTTTGCTTTTAAAATTGTGACAACAAAATCATTTTAATAAACACTATTTTCGTTTTCTGTTTTCACTCATAAAAAATAAAATTATATTTCTCTTTCTTCAAGAAGCAAAAATATAAAATGTTTCACATTATTGAATGCGACCTAGACTTGTTTCTCTGGGAATCACTTCATTTTACTTTGGTTTTACAAAGGAAGTAGAATGAAAGGATAATGAACTAGTTGTTTTCTTTGGTTCATAACAATTAAAATTTCACTTAAACTTTTTTATTCATATTCGAGTCCTAATAATATAGGAGTAAATGTTAGATTCTCCTTAAATAATGAATTAAGCAAGCAGGCCCTTAGCAACTAAAGTGCTTAATGTCAGTAAAAAGAATTATAGGCACTCTGTTGTTTTTCAACTTTTGTCCTTTTCATGTTTTAAATTTAAAAAGATTAATGTGGCCCAATAAGTAGTATGACAGATAGGGTAGAGAGATGTGTATATATATATATATATATATATACATGATTTCTTATGATTGGGTAAAAGAATCCACAAGGGGTGATTGGCATTAGGAAGGAAAGAAATGGACACAACCCAACTGCCGCAGAACACCTTCAATGGGGTCACTAACAGCATCCACACATTTGTTCTCCTTCAACTCCTCCTCCTGGGTGAGTTTCACTCCATCTCAGTCCTTCCTCATACCCACAAAATCCCCCTTTTCAACCCCTCCTCTCAAGCCCAGAAGCCCCAATCTTCTGAGTCTCTCTTCAGCAAAGGTCAGAGCTACCCTGGATGAGAAAGGCCAAAACACCACTGATCCTCCTCTTCTTCTTCAGGAAACCAAACAGCCCACTAAGGTATGATTTCCTTACACCTTTAATTTGTGTTCTCTTATCACTTCAATTCTCTTGGTTTTGTGTTTTATTTTGATTTTAAGTCAATATTATGTGTAATCAATTGGAACTCATACTTGTTTTGTTGCAATTAATCTGAGTCAATTATGTTGGTCTAGTTGTTTAGTGACCTGATGAGTGTGGAAGTGCTCAATAAGGCCTATACTGGGACTTTTTATGTGTTCTTTACGCTGGAAATTTTTGCATAAATAAAAATGATTCTGTGGCCCTATGCCCTAATTTTTTTAAAATAGGATTGTAACGTGATTATCAATACTTAGATGGATTGGGTTGTACTTTTTAATTTCGTGGTTTAATTAGAAATTAAAGATACTCTTAAGTTTAATCTTCAATAAGGTACGATAGCTGAATCTATCTGTTTAATTAATGCCGTATTCTTGATTTGTACATGTGTATTATTGTTATTAAATCCAACACCTTATTTAGGAAGTGGAGGAGAGTGTGAAATTGCTTAAAAATGCTGCGAAAACGAGACGTGTTGCGACGGAGGAGGTTCTGTCTGCTCTCTCTGTGATAGAGAAAGCAAAACTTGACCCCTCAGGGTTTCTTGAGACACTTGGTGGATCTAAATCCCCTGGGAAAACCTGGATGCTTATTTTCACTGCTGAGGTTATTCTTCATTCTATGCCTTTTTTTTTTTCCTTTTTTTTGGTTCTTTAAGTTCACTCCATAATCTACACAGAAAGTGTCTATTCTTATTCAATGTTTATGCTCTTTATAGAATCAATTAAAGGGCGGTAAATATGTCCCCATTACGGCTGTTCAAAGGTTCGATGCTTCTGTAAGTATTCTCATGCATTTTCTTTCTCTTGTATTTTATGTCAATATATATATATATATATATAGTGTAAGGTAATGATAAGTCGGGTATGTTTGCAATCAACTTCTAGGAAGAAACTCTTCCAGTGGATGCTAATATATAGAGTACTTTTATATCTATGTTCTTGAATATATATATATATATATATATATATATATATAGAGAGAGAGAGAGAGAGAGAGAGAGAGAGAGAGAGAGAGAGAAAAGAAAAGTAGAAAGGAAAAGGTGGTGTTGGAACTATAGTGCTTGGGCATATTAGTTCAAGTACTTTAATAGCGAAATATCCTGAAAATTAATAATATGCAAGTTCGGTATAATGGTGATAGTATAGAAGTATTTTAAAGTCATATGCAAGTTTCAATGTATTTAACCCCTTAATTGGTAAAGCATTACAAGAAAGAATGGAAGAAAAAATGAATTAGCTTGAATGTGCTAATGAAAAATTGGCAAGGGTGGCTAATTTCGAAAAACTAGCTAATTTAAACAGTAGTTTTTTTTTTTTTTGCTTCTTTGTCAAGTTCCGAGACTGATTTACCAGATTTGGATTGTCAGGGAAAGAGGATTGAGAATGGGGTTTATTTGGGACCAATTGGATGGTTAACATTTGAAGGCAGGTTTTCATGGAAGAATAGAATACTTGCATTCATATTCGAGTGCATTCGGATAAAAATTGGACCTTTCAACCCTTTCGAGATAAAATTCGGAGGAAAAGATGAAAAGGAGCCGAGCACGAAGGACCCATTCTTCATCTGGTTTTACGTTGATGAGGAACTAGCTGTTGCTCGAGGCAAAAGTGGGGGGACTGCCTTTTGGTGCCGCTGTCGCCGTGTCTTTGCTCTCTGATCCCTTTCGGTTTATACGTAGATTTTGCAAAAAAATGTTATTGTATATCGATGTTATAGGATGAAACGAATCATTTGTATTGTGATGCATGTATGCTACACTGGGGAACTAGCTTAGTTCTTGGAAATTGGCCTGACTGGTTCAAAATTTGTGAGATCTCGTTCATGGGAAGATTGTTAAATTGTTCATCATCAAAGTGTTGTGACCACTATAAGAAAACTGAGCATTTACAGCATGTTTACCGCTTTCAGGTATGGAACCTCGTAAAAAATCATTTCACTCCCGCATTTTTTTGTATTTCTTAATTAAAAGCAAGTAGCTGGTTAACCTCACCTTAGACAAGGAAAAAAAGAAGTTACGGTAAACTCCCTTCGCGAGCACCATGAGTGAACACATTTCCAGAGCCCTCTTCACACCAGAGTCTTATTCACGACTCCTTTCATGAGCTCCATGAGGGAAACCCTAGCTTCCATTGTTGATGGTGAGCGAAACTATAATGGATTGTTGGTTTTAACTCCAGGTGACAGCCTTTCATTGTTTGAGGTATCAATAGTCCGAAATGTGAATTCAAATCCGATTTTCAAATTTCAGTTTCGGTATCAGCCTGAGTGTTTTGATTTCGTAGTTGTCGGATTCTCTAAACTTTAGATTTGAGTCGGCTATGATCATGTGATTCTTGTTATTTTGATCAAACTGATGATGGTGGTGTTTATATGCTTCCACAATTTACCATTAGCTGATGATTTGTATTTCATGTTTGTTGCCGTTGGAATTTTATGAATTGATTTCATCAAGCGATCGATAAATTGTTTCAAAGACGCTTGAGTTCAGTTTGTTGAAATTCACATACATCTATGTAATAATACTCTCTGCTCACGCCAAATAAGGAACTCACCAAATGACACACAATCCAAGTGCCACCCAAAGCAGGAATGAATATTCATGTGATGAATTGTGGCTATGTTTGGTGAAAATAAAATATTGAGTATTTTATATTATTCCAAGCATGGTTCGCAGTTGCGAGAGAAACACCTTCCATTCCATTCCCTAAGGATGCCTCGTCCATCCCTTCCCCTCTTCCTTCCATTCAAATGCTGTTCAAATGATTCATCTCTGATTGAATAACTCAAATCTCTCATCCAAAACATTATATATTTTGGACCATTTCTATGCAACGTAACAAGATGGCATACCTGTTCTTAATTCAATACATTCAAGGGCCAGCAAGAACATCAAATTCATTAACAAGAATCCACATAGAATAGGCCAAGACCATCTACATTCCGGTGATTATTTCAGATGAACCTACCTGTAAGGCTGTAACCATAAGTAAGCGAAAAACAAGAACCTGAGTGGATAGCATGCAATTGACCAACTTAGTTCACATCAGCACTGAAAAAGATCATTTCAAAGCAAGCATCATCAAACACCAAATAGCCTAAGCACCTTGTGCTAAAAAAATTCCAAGTAGAGATTAATCTAGCACTCCCATCATACATAGGTAAGTTCTTATATTACGGAAAGTTCACACCTTTAGATGAAATATAATTTAAGAACGCTTCCTCAAAAGCTGCAACAGAAAATGGTCTCTTGATGACAAAGACACAGAAAATGAAAAACTCTCACACTTCTTCAGATCGGACTACCACACTCATCTTTCAAGAGGAAGCACCACTGCGTAGAGCTTGACCCTTCTTTGTCTTCCTAGGAGCCAGCTGGGTCTCAGGCTGCAAAATACAAGAACCTCATAAGAAACAGTGCCATGTTAAATAAAAAATTAAAAAACATAACCCATGCACTTGAACATTATAACAAATCAAGAACAAATACACTTTGGGTGTATTTGGTTGCATGGAATTGCAGCCTTGGAATTGGAATTGGAATTAGTGGAATTTGAGAAAATTTTGGTTCAATTTTGTTAGTTGTTTTTCTCAAATTCCACCAACTCCAATTTCCAGACTCCAATTCCATGCAACCAAACACACCCTTTAGATGATTCATAGTAAAGAAGGCACATCAAATCCCCCTCATCAAGCACTTGGATTTTTCTAAATATATTTTAACAATTACCTCTTTCTTGACAGCTTCTTCTTTTTCAGACAAAATCAACTCAATATGGCAGGGAGATGACATGTAAGCTGCAAGAGGGAACAGATGGTTACTGCTCATGAATGGTAAATAGGAAGAAGATACAAGAATCCAAAATGAATAAATCACTCACGGTTGATTCTTCCATGGGCACGATATGTGCGACGCCTTTGCTTCTGGGCTTGGTTAACTTGGATGTGGGATATGTAAAGTGAATCCACATCTAAACCTTTTACCTAAAGAATAAGGTTACAGGAGTCAAACATGTAGTTAGTGAACAATGATTAAAAACGAAAAACAAAAGCAGTTACAATGGATACGTACTTCCGCATTACTCTCAGCATTCTTGAGTAAATCCAGAATAAATCCCGCGGACTTAACAGGCCAGCGACCTTGTCCATTTGAATGGCGGTTCTTTGCTTGAGCAGTCCGTCCAACTCCACGACAGAAGCGTGTGAATGGAATAGCTTGTTTGTGTGCAAGAACATCTTCCAAATACCTCTTAGCCTTGGTTAGAGCCAACTTCCGAATTGCATGAGCTGTCTCTCGTGTATTCTAATAATAGATAATTAAATGAAGAGTAAGGAATTAATACAAGTATAGAGAAAAACACTGCCAGGGATTAGCGATCCCAGTAATAGTTCTAGATAGATCTGAATTTGAATCTAAATAAACAGAAAATAGATTCTATGCAATTGCAGAGCATTAGTATTCTCTATTCAAGACGCTGCAATAAAGAACTCAGTAAATCAAAGATTATACCATCCAAATATAAGGCAAGAACCAGATATAAATATGAAAATCTAACCAACATAATAAAATTTGGGGTTCAATTGGTGTATTGCCTGTTTGTCATCATCTACTAGTAAGTTCAAGCATGAGTCTGCAATTTTGGCTCAAGACTACTCAGGAGTTCAGAAAACTAATCAAGTGGTTTCAAAATACGGGCACGGAGGGCAAAATACAAATTATGGAAGGCCTGCATCCATTACTGATAAAACAGTCTGCAAACAGAGGAAATGCAGTATGTACTATAATTGAGGAACCTAACAGTTAAAAAGGACAAATCAGGTAATTAAATTCATTTATTTATTTACAATAAGTGACACCTTGAGTGAAGAAAAAGATAACAGTGTAATTTCGCAACTGCGTGGAAGTCAACTATATGACCATATAGTTTATTCCACAAATCTAATGTCAAGAAACTATAGGTTAACCTTTGCTCACAAAGAGATGCTTTCTTCTCTTATCATGTGTAATGAACTTTAAGTAAATTCTTAGGATATCCCACAAACATCACTGGCTTTTCTTTCCATTTTCCCTTTTTGAGGCAAAGACGATAGGCATCTTTAAATAGAAGTGTTTAAGCTCAAGAAGGCTAGAAAATCAACTACTCCCCAAACTATGCTAGAAGAGACTCCTTCAATATTTCTCCATGGCTAGGCTATCTATAAATAAAGCACTGGGCTCCACAACTCGTTCATTTCATTAGATAATTGATAAAATGGAATGTATAGTACAATTCTATTTTTTGTTTGGTTTTCTATGGGCAATTCCAGAGGCAGACTAGGTGCAAAGCACAATATTAGTTCTCATTGAATAGTACCTCCTCACAAGAGCTTCCTGTGTAGTTTTCTCTTCAAATTTGTGTCGTACTTTCCTAATTCTTCTGTTTCCAGGCTTTCAACTCAAGTTGGGTTGGCCAACTATTTTAATGACCTAGCTATGAATAAAATTTTATGAGATTGAAACAACAGAATATCAAATAGGACATGGGACCACAGTAAAAATCTACCATTATTTACTGAACCTTCTGCCACCAACAGATTAACAGAGGTTCACCCAATAACAATGGACGTGATGTCCCTGAAGTTTACAAGAGACCTGTTCACAAGAGGCAACAGATCCCTGCTTTTTTCATCAGGTTCCATAACAATGCGGAGTATCCAACCCCCATGAACACGAATTTAGAATTCCAAATAAATAAAGATAACCATCATTCTACATTCATTCTTCCATTCAGTTGTAGGATGGTGTCATCAATCTAGATGCATGCTACGAGCCTATGAGATAAGTCTCACAGTCTTAAGACATTAACGATTCGCAAACGGACAAAATAATAGGACCACCGAATGGGGTCACAAAAAAAAGAGTCACATTAAGCAGCCATAAGCATCATATCACAATATATCTATGTTCATAAAATAAAAAAACTGAACAATTAAAGTGTGACACAGCACTGAAACACCATACAAACCCATATGATTCACCGCAAAAAATTAAGTCTAGATCAACTCAAGTACCTTAAAATGAACTCTAAGATCAGAGCCCCTGGCTTTGCAAGCTGAAACAAAGAAACAAAAAAACACAAAAATCACATAAGAATATTCCAAACCGTTGATTGGCACAAACCATTGCTCTTTTTCTTTGCCGAGAAACACAAAAAAGGGAAATTAAATCTCGATTCATGCCTTTGTTAACTACCTAAAAACCCAGAATTAAAAAATAATCCGTGTATATATATATATATTATCGAAGAATCATAAAACTTGACTGTAACAAAGTCTGAGTGCTTACATTTGGTGGGGTTGACCGGTTCCTTCGAATACTTCACCTGAAATATTAATTCAACCAACAACAGATCTCAAAAACAAAAACATTACATAGAAAAATCATACATGCATATATATATATACACACACACATATTAATAATCGAAGCAATATAGGAAAAAACAGGAGAGATTGGAATTTGGTTAGATTGAATTACCATTGTCGCTGTTGCTGCGAGTCCTCTCGCTGCCGAACGTGTTCAGTACCCAACCGAAGAGAAATGAGCTAAGGTTTTGAAATTGAAACCCTAGGGATAAAAAAACTCGCTGAGTTTGGGCCGGGCTTTTAAATGTGGCTAACCAAGCGTTTGATTGGATTGGGCCTTGTATGATATTGTAAATTTAGAAGTTGGGTTTAGGGCTGTTGTGCAGAAAATTTCTATTGGTTTGAGAGAGAGGGTGAGATATTGATTAATTAATAATTATACAAAATCTCATTAACTATAAAAGTAGCAGCTTTGAAATAAAATTGAAGCTCAATAAGGTGGATAAGTTTGTTAAGTGACTTTAAATGTCTCTCCTCAAAATTTCAAATTTAAACTCTCGTGCACTGAATTTGTCTTCTTATATTACTCTTGTGAATTTCATTTTTGTTTGTTCTCAATGTGAAGAGATTAGACTGCAAAATTATGTCATGGATGACATAAATCCTGTTTGGATTCAATGGGTTTATATTATATTAGATTATATTATATTATATATATATATATATATATATATATATATATATATAAGTGCTCACTTGGTTGTAATTGCTAGAAAGGCTGTTTGGATTAATATTTTGCTCACTCGTTGAGTAAGATATGTTTTCGAATATTGTTCGATGCATGTGGAACGAGAAAACTGCATTTGTCCGACAGTGAATAATGAAATACTACAAGAGACATGACACCTGTAATGACCCACTTCACCACATGGTACGATTTTGTTCACTTTAGACCTGAGCCCGCACGATTTTGGTCTTCGCCTTTATCCCAAAAGGTCTCATACCAATTGGAATGACACACCTACATATAAGTACTTCACCTTTCTCTTTCTTAGGCGATATGAAATTGTGCACCTGTAGCTTGCCAATGTGGTAACCTGTCAGTGTCTCGCATGCGCCCACGGTACATCCGCCCACAGGGTCATCACAATCCACCCCCCTTGGAGGCCCGACATCTCCGTCGGCACACTTCCGGCTGGGTTAGGCTCTGATATCATTTGTAACGACCCACTCTACCACATGGTATGATATTGTCCGCTTTGGGCCTGAGCCCGCACGATTTTGCTCTTGGGCTTTACCCTAAAAGGCCTCGTACCAATTTGAGTGACACACCTTTTTTTTTTTTCCTAGTTGGTACTCATACACACATGTCTCTTCCGAGACTTGAACCCCTGACCTCCTTTTGGGAAGTAAGAAGCTGATACCGCTAGGCCACTGGCCCGTTGGTGACACACCTACATATAAGCGATTCACCTTTCCCTGAGCTATGAGTGCACAATCCCACATCGCCTGGGTGAAAGAAAGGTGAAGTGCTTATATATAGGTGTGTCACTCCAATTGGTACGAGGCCTTTTGGGGTAAAGCCCAAGAACAAAACAGTGAGGGCTCAGACCCAAAGCGGATAATATCATACCATGTGGTGAAGTGGGTCGTTACAAATTGTATTAGAGCCTAGGTTAAGAATTACCTGGCTAAGAGAAGTGATAGTAAGAATAGGAACATATACTTATACGAATTATCTGCTCTCTTACCATGCTCCAATTTAAAGTATATATTACTTGTGAGACTTATAATTGACATTCTTTACTGAAAATAGGATGTCAGGAGCTGGAAGAGGCAGATGATGACCTGCTAGAGGCTGGGGTCAAGGAGATGTCAGTCGTGGTGGTGTTGACCATGACAATGTTCAGTTGGAGGATGCACCTCATGCGCTGAATCCTATGATTGGATTTATCACAGATATACGCAAATTGGGAGCTATTGAATTTGTCAGACCTACCGCTCCACTTGATGCCGAGAAGTGGATTAAAGATATGGAAAAATATTTTGAGATGATGGACTGCACTGAGGTGCAGAAATGGAATATTGGTGTTTTTCTTTTATCTGGTGAGGCGCGCTAGTGGTGGCAGTCAAAGACCAGGATGGTTGTGGACATTACAGCTATGACATGGGATGATTTCAAAACTCGGTTCAACGACAAATATCTTCCACTATTGGTGAAAGAGAAGAAGGCAACTGAGTTCATGCAGCTGGAACAGAATAATGATATGTCAATTAATGAGTACGAGAGGAAGTTTACAGAGCTATCCCGATTCGCTCCTCACATTGTTGCGAATGAGTTACACAAGGTCAGAAAGTTTGAGCGAGGGTTGATCTCTCATGTGAAGAAGTTTGTGGTCATCATTATGACACTTATGCTAAAGTGGTGGAATGTGCCATGGCGATAGAGGAGAATAATAACATCATCTTTCAGAAACAGAAGAAGCGTAAGGCAGAACAGAAAAGTAAGGGGGCTAGCAGCTCTCAACAGAATCAAAGTAACTCTAAATAAAATAAGAAGGGTCAGCAGCAGCAGACTCAGAGAAACAGGCAGGGTCAGTCTTGGCAGAGAGGTAGACAAGATTGGAGAGCAGGGAAACGACAGAGAGTTGGTGAAGGTGAGCAATCCACAGCTTTAATACCAATCACACCTCATGATGCACAGCCATATCAGTTCATCGGGCATTGTTACAATTGTCGTAAGCAAGGACATTTGGCTCGTAATTGTCCCAAGCCTCATAAGAATAACCAGTAGAGAGGTCAGGCACCACGGCAGCAAAGAGGTGCAAGGGTTTATGCAGCTGTTCCAGATAGGAGATAGGACTGTGCACCAGCAGCAGTGGAATGTACACTTACTATTTTTGGCAGTATAGCTAGAGTATTATTTGATTCAGGTTCTTTATATTTTTTTATTGCACTATCGTTTATGGACACATTAAGAATAGAATCTGGACATATAAGTAATGCCTTATCTATTACAACTCCACTCGGGAGCACGACGACGCTTGATAGAATATGTTGTGTTTGTCCTGTTACAATTGGAGAGTTGGAGTATCCTATTGATTTGATAGTATTACATATGAGGGACTTTGACGCTATATTGGGTATGGATTGGTAGGCTAGATATCATGCTCAGTTGGACTGTCATGAGAGGATTATTGTATTCTCAGTTCCAGGATAGTTACCTTCTAGATATAAATGTGAGGAGTTCAAGGGCACCATGACTATAGAATTTCTCGCCTACATTGAGGTGGTTAGGCAACGCATGACTATAGAGCAGTTGCCTACAGTGTCAGAGTATGCCGATATGTTTCAGGATATTCCGAGTTTGCCTCCTAAAAGGGCAGTGGATTTCTACATCAACCTCACTTTTGGTATTTCACCTATCTCTAGGGCACCCTACAGAATGGCGCCAGTTGAATTGAGTGAGTTGAAGAAACAGACTCAAGAGTTGAAAGATCGGGGGTTTATTCGACCTAGCACATCACTTTGGGGAGCACTTGTTCTATTTGTCAAGAAGGATGATGGGTCACTTCGCTTATGTGTTGACTACCGTGTGCTGAATAGGGTCACTATTAAGAACAAGTACCCATTACCATGCATTGATGATTTGTTTGATCAACTCTGAGGGGCACAATTGTTCTCTAAGATTGATTTAATGACTAATTACCATCAGTTGAGGACTAAGGAGGAGGATATTCCTAAGACTACCTTCAGGGCTCGTTATGCCCTCTATGAGTTCTTAGTCATATCTTTTGGGTTGACTAACGCCCTGACAACTTTTATGGATTTGATGAACAGAGTGTTTCGACCTTACTTTGATCAGTTTGTTGTGGTATTTGTTGATGACATTCTAATATATTCCAAGACTAAGGAGGAGCATGAGAGACACTTAAGCATTACACTTTAGACTCTACGTAAGTATCAACTCTATGATAAGTTTGAGAAGTATGACTTTTGGCAGGAACAGATTCAGTTTTTGGGGCACGTGATCTCTAAGGATGGAGTTTCGGTGGATTCTACCAAGGTAGAGGCTGTGATGAGTTGGAAACGGCGTACTACTATCACTGAGATTCGTAGCTTCTTGGGACTGGCAGGATACTACAGGGGCTTCATTGAGGGTTTCTCCAAGATTGTTGAACCTTTGACTCGTTTGACTCGGAAGGATGTGAAGTTTGTTTGGGACCACTGCTGTCAGCCGGCATTTGAGGAGCTGAAGACTAGATTTACTTTGACACCAGGTCTTACTATTCCTGTTAGTGATGAGAGATTTGTTATTTACACAAATGCATCACATCAAGGTTTTGGCTGTGTTTCGATTCAAGATGGTAAGATGGTAGCGTATGCCTTTAGGCAGCTTAAACCACATGAGTAGAATTACCCTACACATGACCTGGAATTGGCAGTCGTGGTTCTTACATTGAAGGTGTGGAGGCATTACTTGTATTGTGAGAAATTTGAGTTATTCTCTGATCACAAGAGCCTCAAGTACCTCTACACTCAGAAGGAATTGAATATGAGGCAACGGAGGTGGATGGAGAAGATGAATGATTTTGATATAACCCTACAGTATCATCCTGGGAAGGCGAATGTGGTAGCAGATGCCTTGAGTCGGAAACCGAGAGGATTAGTTGCCTTTATGATGATTCAGGAGTGGATAATGTTAGAGGCATTGGCCGAGTTCTATATCATGCCGATTTCTCAGAGTACAGGGGCTCTTCTTTGTAGTTTAACTGTACAACCTACTTTGATCAACCGGATCATTCATGCTCAGACTCAAGATGACAGGTTACAGACTAAAGTAGTTGATGCTGTTAATAATGAAAGTAATGTCGACTGGACATATTGTGATACCCCTCGGATCCGAGACACGGGTTGATCAGGCCCAGGCCCAAACCCGAGCGATATCAAACGATTAAAGTATTTTAAATCGAACACAGAATACAAAGTGAATAAGAAATAAAAGTTAAAAACTGAAAGAATACTAAATTAAAAGGAAATCCTCAACTTAAACTAATTAAAAACCAACTTATTTAAACTTAAACATAAACATCGAGAAGAAACCAATAACAGAAACATCAAAGATTACGCAAATTTCGTGTCAATGAGATTAATATAATTCATACATGCATACAAGACTTGATATAATAAACGTTTAATCCATTTTAGTCTTTAAATAAATCCCTGGAGTCTAGCTAGGCATGCACAGAACACGAATTAACGGGAAAGAATAGAATAGAGACTTGCATTTGAGTTTCATATTACATACTCTAAACTGTCGTCTCTGAATTGTCCCTTGCTCTGCCTTCCTATGCCCCCTCTTTCACTATCTGTTTCTTAGCAGTCCCCTGTGATACAGACGTAACTTATGGAGTTTTGAATTATCGAATTTGATTAATTATGATACAAGGATTTTCTTTTAGTTTTTTTCAGCTTATTATATTATTTCGTATTTCACTTTGTATTCCATGTTCGATTTAAAATACCTTAATTGTTTGATATCCCTCGGGTTTGGGCCTGGGCCTGATCAACCCGTGTCTCGGATCCGAGGGGTATCACACATATGAAGCCGATAGTGGTATGAGATTCCGAGGTAGGCTATGTGTTTCAAACTTAGCAAACCTCAAGAGAGAGATCTTAGAGGAGGCACACCACTCTAGGTACATAGTGCACCAAGGTGGCACTAAGATGTATCATGATTTTAAAAGGCAATTCTGGTGGGAAGACATGAAACGTGATGTGGCAAAGTTTATGTCTAGATGTTTCACTTGTCAGCGAGTGAAGGCTGAGTACCAGAGACCAGCAGGACTATTACAGCCTTTGCCCGTGCCTGAGTGGAAATGGGAGCATGTGACGATGGATTTTGTTGTGGGGTTACTGAGGTCGATGCATAACCATGATACAGTATGGGTGATAATGGACCGATTGACTAAATCAACTCATTTTCTACCCATTCGAGCTACTGATACTGTAAGGAATTGTGTAAGATCTATATCAGAGACATAGTTAAGCTCCATAGAGTGCTGGTGTCTATTGTTTCAGATCGTTATCCTTGTTTTTCATCTCTGTTTTGGAGTAGTTTCATGCAGCTTTTGGTACTCCTTTGAGTTTGAGTATTGTTTTTCATCCTCAGACCGATGGCCAATCCAAAAGGGTCATTCAGGTGCTGGAGGATATGTTTCATGCTCGTGTGCTAGATTTTCGAGGCAGTTGGGAAGATCACATTCCATTGGTTGAGTTTGCTTATAATAACAGTTATCAGGTTAGTATCGGCATGGCACCGTATGAGGCACTTTATGGTAGACTTTATCGTTCACTTGTATGTTGGGCCGAAGTTGGTGATGAAAGTTTTTTGGGACTAGAGTTGGTACAAGAGTTTATAGAGAAGGTTGCCATCATTCGAGATCGACTTCGTACAGCTCAGAGTCGACAGAAGAGTTATTCAGATCGACGCCGTCGAGCTTTGTAGTTTAGTGTGGGAGACTTGGTGTTCTTGAACGTATCACCAATAAAAGGGGTTACAAGATTTGGTAGGAGGAAAGAGAAATTAGCTCCTCGATTCATTGAACCTTTTGAGATCACAGAGAGGATTGGGGAGGTGGTATATAGATTGGCTTTACCACCCTGACTATCAGTTGTTCATAATGTTTTCCATGTCTCTATGTTGAGGAGGTGCTTAAGGGATGAAACTTAGGCCATTAACTGCACAGAGGTCCAGATGCACCCTAATACAACCTATGTTGAAACGCCTATTCGCATTATTGACCGTATGGTGAAACAGTTGAGATGGACAGAGATACCACTAGTGAAGGTGCAACGGAATCATCAGGATGAAAGAGAGGCTACTTGGGAGTTAGAGTCAGAGATGAAGGAAAAATACCCACAACTTTTCGAATAAGGTACGTAAATTTCAAGGACGAAATTTCTTTCTAGGAGGATAAAATGTAATATCTTTAAAAATAATAATAATAATAAGATATGTATGTTTTTAGGAACGGTTTATGGTTGTGTTATCCTATTATTTTGAATTTTAAAATAGCTTTATTTGATTTAAAACTCTAAGAATAATATCTATATTATAGAGTTTGTATTGTATTGGGTGAGGAAACAAAAAGAAAAACACCATCTTTCTCAAAACCTACCTTAAACTCTTATCACGTTAATTCCTGGGTACCGATTACTAAAGCATTGTCAACCTTTTGCAGTGGCTGGAAGGAGAGGTGATTAAAGGTCATACACGTGAAGGAGTAGCGTTATTTGAGGCAAGTTAATCTTTGTCTTATAATTTTATATATACGACTGACTTGTTTATTAAAGTTTTAATATTAAATTCTGAATTATATGTTCCCTGGTATACAGATTATCTTGTTAATATTAAGTACTTGTTGAAATAGTTGAACATTTTTCGTTTACATATATTGATCTTATATTTACATACACACTTAGAATTGGTAATTGAGCAAATCAAATGATCTGTGTCAAATAGTAACATTTGTGTATGGATTGTATGTTATCCTAACGTAAGTCTTTATTCTAATTTGTGTGAATGGTCATTAATGAGTAGATATATATATATATATATATATATATATATATATATATATATAAGTGATATGCGTATGGATGTATAATTATCGTGTCATTGAAATTGTTACATTATTACGGCTTATTAAGTATATTATGAGCTTTGGTAGATAAACTGATTTTTTATATGTTCGTATGTGTGTATATATATTTTTTATATTTTTATATGTA